CTATCTCTAGGTGGTATTATATACGGTATTTTATATCAATTTTCATTCGTACGTACTACGTTGTGGAGCGTGTACATATATAGGCTCTTCAAGACCTTCAAATGCATTACACTTCATTTAACTATAGTAAATTATCTCTGGGTTAAGTTTATTTTCAACGCGTCGAAACCTTATTCATATTTTTTCCAGTTCTTTATTGTTTATAGGCAGCCACTGTACATGGCAATAGCATGGCCAGTCAGAAATATTTAGTGTGAATATTCAACTACACTCATGCTGTGTAGATATATGAACAAACGACAACCTTGCCGCTTAGCTATGTCACTGAATATAATGGTTGGTTAATATTATATAGCCGATTTTGACAAACTCGAACCGATTTCGCTGTCTGCAATTCTGCTATAGCATGCATTTATCTGGTTGGTTTCGCTGTCTGAAATTCAGCTACACTGTACCTATCTTTAGGTGGTATTTATATATGATTATTTTGGCAAATTCAAACCGTTTTCGGTGTCTGAAATTCAGACACCCAAATTTATCTCAGTCTGCATGGTTGATGATTTTGACAAACTCAAACCGTTTTCGGTGTCTGAAATTCAGACACCCAAATTTATCTCAGTCTGCATGGTTGATGATTTTGACAAACTCAAACCGTTTTCGGTGCCTGAAATTCAGACACCCAAATTTATCTCAGTCTGCATGGTTGGTATTTATATATGATTTTGACAAACTCAAACCGTTTTCGGTGTCTGAAATTCAGACACCGAATTATATTTATATCTGACAATGGTTGGTCTATTTATATATATGAGTGATAATCTGAATCCAGTTTAAGTCATGTAAGCATATGAATACTGCAAATTTTCAATTTAGCATTAATAATTTCAGAATGGTGTCTCGTTTAGACAAAAATGTTGTTTTTTTGCAGAGTCTCTGCCAAAAAATAGTATTTCGATTTGCTAAAATGAAATCTTCGCTCTTTTTGTTATTTTTTTTAATTTTTGCAGAAAAAAAAATAGTTTAGAATTATTGAAAATAGTTTGGAACGCGTTTGTTCTTGCTTCATTATGAATTCATTTTTACTCCCATGAGAGTTCCGTGGAATTTCCATGGAATTTGTGCTTTCGAGTTGTTTGTGCTGAAACGCATTCTCTCGTATAATACCCCGTACACTTTGAAATGGCGATGCCACAATTTACCCAGCAGCAGAGAGCTCTTATGCATGGTATCAGAGTTCCTCCGTAGCAACAACATAAACTTGGTTCGCCAAAGTTTCACGAACGAATATCCAGCTGATGTACGATGCCCTTCACGTATTCGCACATGAAGGGCATCGTACATTTGTATATTCCTTCGTGAAACTTTGACGAACCAAGTTTATGTTGTTGCTACGGAGGAACTCTGATGCCATAAAATCTATCTGCTGCGGGGTAAATTGTGGCATCGCCATTTGAAAGTGTACGGGATATTATACAAGAAAATGCGTTTCAGCACAAACAACTCGAAAGCACAAATTCCATGGAAATTCCATGGAACTCTCATGGGAGTAAAAATGAATTCATAATGAAGCAAGAACAGCACCAACGGAGAAAAATGTAACATTTTCACAGGCTTTTCGGAGGATTTGTACTCGGTAAAATCCTGCCGAAATTTTATCATAAATGCAACAAATAGCGAACTTTTCATACATGAGCTCAAATAAAGAATACCGTTTGTCATTTCCGTGCGCAAGCCACTTTTAGGGGAGCAAAAGTTGACCACCCCCCTGAATAGCAAAATTTACTATTTTCAAATTTTTTATATTTTCCATAATTTAAGAACTCAAGCAATCCATATATAGCAAAAATTACATTTCATGAACAGAATTGTGGAATTGAGAGCAATTTCAAAATTGTCTTACTTTTTTTGATACACCCTGTATATACATGATATAGTAAACAAATAATATTGTAAATCAATTGATGCATAGCTAATTTCTTTTTGACTACTTGTCTATCCAAATATAAAGGTATTACAGTTGCTAAATAGAGTAAGAATAAAATGTCTGTCCAAAATAATGAATTGGATTGGAAAGTGAGGAGAAGACCTTCGAAATAAACAATGTCCTTGGGGGTGGCCCCACGTCCATACCTTAACTGCTTCCTTAGAAACTCAATTGTAATGATAGCCTAAAACCTTAAACTCGAACACTAGTATAACATGCCAATCCAATTTGTGGTGTGTAAATGTACGATTAATTAGTTTCTCGTTTTTATTTTCAGAGACAACAATCACAGTTCCAAGGTATGTTAGTTTAATTTACTTTGAGAAAAATGGCTAAATTTCCATTTTGCTTGCATTTATGTAAATAATTTTATATTTTGTTTATAGTGCAACGAATGGGGAGGTCCCTCTGGTAGGGCAAATGAATTTTTAATTTTTACACGTCGAATAATGAATAATACTTCTATATTCCATAGCTGCTGTTGTTATTGTTGTGGTTGTGGTTGTTGTTGTTGTTTTCTTGGTTGTTTCAATAAGGCTACTTGCTAATTTCAAACTGTAGTTACCACTACGGGAAACACCTCCTCCACTACTTCGTAAAGATATTTGGGAAATACCAAGACGTCGTGTAGAACTTGGTAAGAAGTTAGGTGAAGGTGCATTTGGGTTTGTGTTCAAGGCTATCGTGACAACTGGTGAGAATTCATCAGAAACAAAAGTTGTTGCAGTAAAAATGGTTAAAGGTTAGATACGTTTGCTACATTAAAGCCAACCCCAAATATGATTTTTGTATGTGTAATATTTGGGTCTTTCTAATGAGAATATATCTTTAATAAAGTTAAAACCTTGTCTTGACCAACGTTTTCACTATCAAAGTTTCTGAATGTGATGTCATTGAAAATTGAGATGGAGAGGGATTTGACGACCTGAAAAATACAATTAAATCTTCGACGTTTCGAGCGAAGGTCCTTCGTCGGTAAGTTTGTGACATGGGTCGGGAAATGTGCTTCATTTTTCAGGTGTTGATTCCCTATCCATCTTAATTTTCTCGTGTTTTCGTACTGCCTACGACAGATCGTTCGAATGATCGTTCGATTGTAAATTAGCGTTCCTTTGCTTGTTGCTGTAAATATTCATCTAATAGCGTCATATCCTGAAATCCTGATAGTGAAAAAGTTGATAATCAAGATGGTGTTTTTTACTATAAAAGATATATCACATTTCTTCTGAGAATTATCCAAATATTACACATATACGAAAATCGATATCATATTTCGGGTTAGTGGCACTGTAATATTAGATGTTGTTTCCTTAGGGCCACTGTATAAGAATTCCTCCCCTGCCAGTGTACCCAATTGCAATTCATCACTTAACAAATATAAAATATTTTCCGTGTTGATATACAGTTATATCGACACGAGTGGAATTGGGAAAACGAGAAATTGCATGGAAACACGACGCCCGAAGGGCGGAGTGTTTTCATACAATTTCGAGTTTTCCCAACTTCCACGAGTGTTGATATAACTATATATCAATACGGAAAAAATGTTTTATATTTTTTTTATAATATAGCAATGTCAAAAGCCCGAAGGATTAGGAAAATTTCCGTGTTTACAAGCGGCAATAAATTTCCCGTGTTGACACTGAATTATATCAACACGGGTCTTAGCCAATCAGCGTTCAGAATTTACAAATGCTATATTATAAATACAAATAATATATGGAACTAAACACATTTAAACTGGCAGTCGGACAACTACATGCTACAGGAACCGAACCCTGGTAATGAAGGTAAAAAGTGAATCCACTGATAAGCCAACACTCCTGACTTATTTAGAAGAAGCATCTTCAAGCGACAGACAAGATCTTCTGGCAGAACTGGAGATCATGAAAAAACTGAAACCTCACCCAAATGTTGTGAGTTTGATCGGTGCAGTTCTAAATGAAGGTCAGTATATTAGAAAGTAATTGAGTGTTTTGTAGATGGAAATCATCAAGTGTAAATTTTATATACATTAATTAGATCTGGCCAGGAACAGCTGCGAAAATTGCAATCGAAGCTGCGGCCCTGCGATTCCAGTACAGTGCTCTAACCAACTAGGTTCGATTCCTGCCTGCTTAATTTGATAACTCATTATTTAATCATTTATTCAATTTAAATCATACATTTTTGAAATTACCAAAATAATATAATAAAGACAGATTATACAGAACTAATAGTTCCTTGTAAATATTTGTGACGTCGATTCTTGAGATTGTACATATTTGTGACATAGAAACCATGACATCAAACTAACTGAAATATCTCGAAAACGAAGCAACAGAATTACGAAAAACTGCAAAAGAAGTTACGCTATAATTTTATATTTCTTTTAAATAAGATACTAAAAATTGTCGTAATTAGTTAATAAACATTCTTACAGTTAATTGCCCCTTCGTCGTTGTGGAGTTCGTTCCATTCGGGGATTTACTGGGATATTTAAGAAAAGTGAGAGGTGTACAAGACTCATGTTATTTTGACGCTGATCATCAACCAAAAACGAAACTATGTACATCACAAGAATTAATGAAATTCGCTATTGAGTCTGCACAAGGCATGGAATATTTATCAATGAAGAAGGTAATGTTGAACTTTCCTCGCGTAATGATTAAATATTTCATGATGAGTTGCTGTAACATAGTTATAGTAGGCATAGCGGTAGATTTAAATTGGCATGTTTGATGTTTATTTATTTTGGCAAAGTTTTTGTTATCCTGGATTGTAGATTACTGCAGATATTATTACACAAGAATAATTTCATACGTAAATATTTATTCACTCAATTATTTATTAACCATCCAGTATTGTTGTTATGGTGTCCAAATATATATATCTACACAAAATCGTACCGAGTCAGCTAGTATACAGTGAATTAACATTTGAAATGTACAGTATTCATGCAGTGACAAAATATCTCGTAGAGTTTTACTTTCTTTTGTTTGAAGATCGTCCATCGAGATCTTGCAGCACGCAATGTTTTGGTTGGTTCAGGGAAGACGTGTAAAATCACAGATTTTGGCATGGCCAGAGATATACGACGCAGTGAGATCTACATGAGAACACGGGTAAACAATACAAATATTAACTTGAACGTAATAGACCTCATGCATAATGACGTCACAAGGCTTGATGCCCGTGAGGAATGCTGGTCTTAGTAGTCATCGCCCGGGAAAATTTCGATAGTGGCCATACTAAGAGGCCATACTAAGTGGCCATACCGAATACTAAGACCAGCATTCCTCGCGGGCATCAAGCCTTGTGACGTCATTATGCATAAGGTCTATTTTCCAGTGTATAGGCAACGTTGAACAAGATTCAATATAATTGTTGAAGGATAAAACTATATACCTGAAAATTCAAATTTAGAAAATACTTCATATTTGATCAATACTTCAACATGGCCAGAAATACATTTGTGTCAGTGGATTTCGGTTTGGACATGCGTAGTAAAGACCACAATCCTATTTCATTGCAATGACAAAGTGAAATTTTTTAAAAGGAATATAAAGGAAAAGTGCTATTTAGATGGATTTTATGATGGTTTGGAAATTTTCGCCATTGTGAATTGCCATCTTATATCCGCGCGAAAATCGATTTCCCACAACGAACAGTGAACTCCGCGGGCACATGGTATGACATACAGTAGTCCGTGCGTTTTAACTGTGGTTTGACCACTTCAAAGCATGTGATATAAAAAAACAAAAAGGTTGCAAGGAACATGATTGATGGATGAAGGAGGATGATTAACACCCTTTAATTTGCCTTTCTTCACGGCTTGCTGAGCTACGAACTATTTTTGTCCAGCTTTCACCACCTTATCCAACACTCTCCCTTGTCAAGTAAAATCGTCTGTTGTAGACTAAAAAGAATAAAGTAAGCGCATCATCGCGCATTGCCACTTAAAGGGTTATTGAACACAATTTTACAGGGACTTATTCCAGTGAAGTGGACAGCTATTGAATCTATTCTTCGTGGAATTTATACAACAAGAAGTGACGTGTAAGTATGCAATAATTTACTAATTAGATCAGGGCGTGGAATGCCAAGCAACCAGCACTGTCCTCCAATGTCCCAATGTTATTTGGTGATCGGATTAACTTTTCATCCCCTCAAACACTTTTACATTAACTTATTTGCAGTAAAAGATAAACGATAGGGAGCATTCGCAAATTTACGCCATATGTGTCGTTTTCTGAACATCAGAACCGCAAACTTCAAATCGCATTTGGTACATTCTGCAAGTTTTCGACAGCTCAAACTAGTTAATTCATACTCAAATTAATCAAATTCGATGCACAAATTTTCCCAATTTCGAGCATTTAACCTCAAGATACAATTTGATGTTAGCGGCATTTGCACAGCTGCAAGTCTGCCGTAAATGTCAATCTGTAACTCTCTAAAACCTCATGTCCAACTTGTTTTGGTTTGTAGATGGAGTTTTGGGATCTTATTGTTTGAAATACTCACAGTAGGTAAGAAATGACAGTCTTTCCTCTATTTATACTCGCCCGTCCCCCCTGCATTGTATAATAAATTGTGCAAAATGTCTCCAAATATTCCTCTAATGATGGTTCTGTAGCTCCCAGTTCAGGACCACTGGGAAAAAGCCCCAGGGGACTGAGCAGAAGAAAGAGTCTCTTTAGAACTTTCTTTGTAATGCTAGGTGGTTCTCCTTACCCTGGAATGAATGGTTACCAAGTGAGAGATTTCATTTCTCAAGGAAAAAGAATTCCGAAACCAATGCATGTAGACAACGAACTGTAAGTTTATAATGTTTGTGTCTTTATTTATTGTTTGTATATAGTTACGGGTAGTTTTGGTGTTCTTTCAATTAAGGACTTCCAAATATATACATGCAGCAATGCACGCTGAGTGAAACCGTCGCGGAACCGAAATATTTTCTCGCGATGATTGAACTCATGCCTTGGAGGACGCGCAGTGCTTCAGAACCATCCTCACAGATATGAAAAACTTGTTTCATATTATTCTGAAGTACAACCCTTTCATAAATTTCCACATCTTTCTTAAATTTTTAATATTGAATCCATGTAGTGAAGTGTAACATGAAATATTTTCCTAGTTACCAAGTCATGATGGATTGTTGGCATCCAAATCCACGAAAACGTCCAACATTCAAACAATTGGTATACACATTGAAACGACTTGAACCATGCCACGAAGTAAGATTGATTATTACAAAAAAGCAATTTGGGTTGATAGGGATGCAACTGTTACTCCTATTTCCCTTCACGTATGGAACATAACGATTGCAAAAGATATATATTTTATTACTAACAAAATGTGAACTATATAAACTCTCGTTTTACATGTGCTCGAAGCAACTGTTAATCTATATATTGTCCCGCGAGTGTCCCACGCGTGATTCTTGCGTAATCATACAACTAAGGGCAGGGGCCCTACACTTTCCCCCTGGAAAGAAATGTCAAACACGACATTGATTCAATGAATCATGAAATCTCCAACAATTACAAATCTTACAAACTTATCCAACACGAGATGCTGCAGTCATTTCGGGCAAGAGTCAGTTCGTTTCTTATTACTCGTTCCACTATCGTATGTTTTCAAAAACATCGTTTCAAATTTCAAAACTAACATGCACTTGAAGTTTCTTTCGAAGATCACGATCTTCAGTTCAATACAACGTTAACGTACTTATCTAATTAAAGAACATTGTTCCACAGTACGGACAATGAGGTCCGAGGTATGCGAAGGGATTATAAGGTAGGGGGGTTGGCTGCCACATATAAGGAATGGAATTCATTGGTGGGAAAGACATCACTCCTGGGTGACTAGGCCCTACAAAACCGAAAATAGTGTTCATACTACCAGGGTATGAAATGCCTGTGACTGGGTTACCTGGTGTCCAATAATTTAGTCTTGGTGGTGGGTTTCTGTTTCTGCTAGGTCTGGTATTTCCCATAGGTGGTGGTGGAATAGACACATTTTCCGTTGCTGGCGGTGGAATGGTTGGTTGTTGTTCATCAAGGGCCAATACATCTGGGTTCTCGACCGCTGGTAACTCTGAGTTGTCTATCTCATCATGTCCGTGCTCGCCGTCTTGAGCTGGTGTCACGGCATCGGTTACGTCCGCCCCACTCCTCTGATCATTCGCCAACGGTACAAATGTTAACCCATCTAATTCGTCTTCATCTGATTCCGGTTGACTAGTAGATCTTGTGCTGGGAGGAACTGTATTTTCTCTTTGACGACGAGGCGTTTTTTGGTTCAACAGCGGTTCCACGGGAAGTGAACTACACGGTAAGCATATTACGATGAAGAGTTCTACTCGGGCCATCAGAACTTTCGGGTTTAACTATATAGACTGGGCTATCTTCCCCTCTCCTAGTGACCACGACATGTATCTTGTCTTCCCAATGACTTCGCAGCTTGCAAGGTTTATCTCGTTTACTCAAATTTCGTACAAGAACTCTATCCCCCGGTCGTAACTCCGAACTACGGATGCGGCGGTCGTATAGCTTTTTCCCTTTCGCTCTACTTTGTGAACTCCTTTCGTTTGCAATCTTGTACGCTTCAGACATCGCTTCGCTCCAGTTGTTAACATACTCTCTATAATTCGGTGACTCAGTTGACTCGCTCTCCAGGTTTAGGATCATATCAATAGGTAGACGAGGATGTCTGCCAAATAAGAGATAAAATGGCGAGAATCCAGTTGACTCGTTACGCGTGCAATTATAGGCGTGAACCATTTTCTGGAGGTGGTCTTTCCAGTGTGATTTTTGCGTTTCCGGCAGGGTTCGCAGCATGGCAAGGAGGGTACGATTGAAACGTTCCACTTGGCCATTGCCTTGCGGATGATACGGGGTAGTCCTTGAATGTCCAATACCACACAGTTTTTCCAGTTGTTTGAAGAGGTGATTTTCAAATTCTCCTCCCTGATCGTGATGGAGTTTTTCTGGAAAACCGAAACGCAAAATAAAGTCATTATATAACTTTTCCGCCACTGTCTTAGCCGACTTATTTCGGGTTGCATAGGCTTGTGCGTAACGGGTAAAATGATCCATTATAACCAAGATATACTCGTAACCGCCACTACTTTTCTCGAGATGAACAAAGTCTAAAGACACCATCTGGAATGGAGCAGTTGTTGTAATGGACTGTAATGGTGCTCTAGTTTGGAAAGTAGGAACTTTTTGCTTCACACACCGACATTTATGTGAAATGTAAGATTCTACATCTCTCTGCATGTGCGGCCAATAGAACCGAGCACGGGCAAGTTCTAGCACCCTATCTGCTCCTAAGTGACCCATTTTCTCGTGAAGTTCCTCGTACACCAACCAATGGAGCTTTTAGGTAAAACTATTTGATTCTTCAAACCACTTTTTCTCCGAAGTAATCCATGTTTGTCCAATTCCAACTTGTTCCACTCGTGCAGGAGGTACCGTGTATAGCGTGATTCATTAGATGTTTTTTCCGAAGTAGGTCTCTCTTTCGATTCAATCCATTTGATCACCTTGCTAATTTCTGTGTCATCTCTTTGGGCAAGTGCGATCTCGTCACAAGAAATGGTGTTCATGGAAACATTGTTAATGTGCTTCATATCTTCTTCTAACACATCCTGATTTGTAGTAAAAGCTGTGATCCAGCTGATGTTACTCGCTTGCTGTTCCAAAATTGATGACTCTACGGCTTGGAGAGTATCCATTGCAATTTCCTCGGTGCACATCTCCATGTAACTATCGACATTTGCCAACAACCTTGACAGCGCGTCTGCATCAGTGTTCACTTTACCGGGGCGGTATTTGATAGTAAAATTGAAATCTGCCAGTTCTCCGACCCAACGTAAACCCGTTGCATTAAGTTTTGCGGAAGACAAGATCTATGTGAGTGGGTTGTTGTCAGTATACACTGTAAATTCCGAGGCATAATACAAATAGTCTCGAAAATGGTCACAAATCGCCCACTTTAGTGCAAAAAATTCCAACTTGCCCGAATGGTGATGGTAATTTCTTTCGGCGGGTGTCAAGCGTCGAGAAGCATACGCAATAACTCTTGTTTCACCGTTTTGACTTTGGTACAGGACGGCTCCCAGTCCCTCTTCAGACGCGTCAGTGCACACAATAAACGGTTTGGTAAAATCTGGGTAGGCCATCACAGGTGGATCAACCAAATGATCTAACAGGTCTTCAAGGATGAGTTGATGATCGTTAGTCCACTGCACAATAGTACTAGAGGGTAACTGTCCTTTCGATTTCATATTATGTTTGCTATTTCCTGTCTCTACACCGTCACTCTTAATTAGATCGTATATTGGTTTCGCTTTTCTAGAGAAATTTGGAATGTATCTCCGATAGCAATTTAGCAGTCCCATTAAACGCCTAACATCACCAACGTTTTTTGGAGGGGACGACTTCAAATGGTGGATAACCTCTACGCCCGCAGGGTCCATTCGATAACCGCTTTCTGAAACAATACGTCCCAAAAACACTACTCTCTCGAACAACTTACACTTTTGAGGCTTTAGCTTTACCCCATTTTCCCTTAAACGCTGAAATACCTTCCGAAGATGTTCCACATGATCCTCGAACGTGGCACGAAATACGATGACGTCATCAAGATACGGGATACATATTGTGTCGCGCAAGTCATCCAAACAGTTTTCCATGAATCTTTGGAATGCCGCCGGGGCATTACAAAGACCGAATGGGATTCGAACCCATTCATATAAGCCCCAGGGGGTTATAAAGGCAGTTAGGGCTTGGCTCTCCTCACTCATAAACCCTTGATGGTATGCTTTTCCTTGGTCCAATACTGAGAACCATGAATTTCCCCCAAGACTGTCAAGTGTCTCTTGGATCCTGGGTATAGGGTGGCGATCTGGGATGCTTTTTTATTTAGTTCTCGATAGTCGATGCAGAGCCGAAGCGTTTGGTCCTTTTTCCGGACACATACTACAGGTGAACTGTAAGGGGATGTTGACTTCCTGATGAAGTTCTTATTCAAGAGATCTTCAACATAACTTTTAACCTCAGGATAAAGCGGTCTTGGCACTGCTGTGTAGTTCTTTTGTACTGGTGTCTCATCGTTCAATTTGATTGTTACTTTCAGATCTGGGATACACCCAATGTCATCATCGTTCTGTGAAAATGCGTCAGCTTCTTGAGCTAACATCCTTAGCGCAACTGATCTTTGTTCTGGTGTTAACCCCTTTAAGTCAATGTTCTTGATGTGGTCAGGGATGCCCACCATGGGCTGGGTTTCATTAGTGAAAGCAACAGAACATTCACTAACTTTACAAGTTTGGTCTACCTGAGAACCATTCTCAACGGTTTCCTCTCTCAATTTTACTGGTATTGCGGTTACAGACCGTACCAGTTGTAATCGTCCTAACACTGTCCGTCGCTTAATAACAATATCATGATTTGTTGGGTTATTCGCCTGCACTTCGATAAAATTAGTCTTCCCTTTCTTTACTGTTAGCAATGTCTCATTGATTTCTAGGCAGGAGGGCCAAGGCATTGTTTCATCTGGTTCGAATAAAACTGGGGTAGTCCCACAAATTGGACCTGTATTAACTCGACACTGAATGTTTACCTGTTTACCACTTGGTATAACAACGTCTCTTTTGCTTGTTTTTACATTGCATAAATAATCACTGTCAGCACTTTGAACAAAGTTAATTAATGCTTGTGCTGCACTATTGTCAAGTCCAACAAATGAAGATTGAATTTCTGACAATAAATCATTGTGTTTATTTGTCACAATTTCTTCAATCACATTGTAGCCTATTATTGGGTGCTCAATTGTTTCAGTTGTAACCAAAAATGGCACACGTACTTGAGTGTTCTTTGAAGACAAGGTAAATGCTAATTCAACCCAACCAATATATGGTATAACACTACCATTTGCTGCTGTGAGTTTTAGGTCAGTCTCGACAAGTTCCGACAAAC